ATTGAATAATTTTATAACAGTTTGTGTATAATATGCGTTCATATTGTAAAATTTTCCAAAATATGCTGTGATAGAATCCAGCTTTCCGTTGATAAAATTTTTTTGGATTTCTATATTGTTATCAAAGTACTTTCCTAATTTGAACAGCTATAAAATAAATTGATAATATTAACTAATGTAATATGCACCGTGTAGAAATAGAGAAACTTACTTCATTTCGTCTGGTACTTTTTGGTAAGTGCATTGCAACGTTAGGAGCAATTCTTCTGGCCAATTTGAGGATTGCTCGTCCTCCTTTTTCGTAGTCAGTGCAAATGTTTTTCTTCGAATTGTATATTCGGTGGTTTATGTACCATGGAGTTGAAGTTACAATTACTTCAGGCTTGTATTTTTTTAAATCATTAGCTATAGCAAAAAAGTCGCCCATAATGAACTTAATTTTATCTCTCACACCGTAAATTTCTGCATTTTTTTTAGCAAATTCCAATTTTTTCGGATCAATGTCTATTGCTATGACTTTTTCATATTTCATTGCTAATTGTATTGCGTTTCCTCCGGCGCCACAAAATGGGTTCATTGCTACATTGTGACCCTTACACCTTTTTGCAATATGTTTGCTCAACATTTCAGGGCACATAGAATAAAATGATTCTAAAACAATTTTTATAGTTAACATTAAACAATTAGAGATTACCTAAGTATAACTTTTATTACCATAATCCAAGAGAATTCCGTCATCAAATTTTGTAAACAGAAAGTGTCTCTTGTCCCACAAGTAATTTGGGACATAACGAGGGCGAGTATTATTGGAGCTATTAATGTTGTAATTAAGTTTAATTGATGTTGTGCTATCATTTAAAGCGGACTCCGGTGTATGGAATTGAGTTGATTCAGCCGAGTTACATATTTGGGTTGAAATATTCTTCTCCTCTGTAGCGTTTTGAAGCTGACAGAGCGAGTCAGTGTCGGCATAATCGTTATTTGGTAGGTCGGTTTCAAATGAATTGTCAGTTGTATTATTGTTTGAAAAAATGTTTTTTTCGGTTTCAACGGCAACAGTTTGTGCTGATGCATCTGTAAATTTTCGGCCTGTAGTTGAAATATCTGCCAAAATAGGCATAGCATTTGGACTTGCAATCAAAGTAGATTTACTATCCATAGTTGAATTTCCAATAAGAGATGCAGTTTTTTTCTCCTTGAAAAGTTCATTGTTCAAGTATATGAGAAACGAGAATACTAAAATTCCACCTAAAGTGAGATCCTGTATAAATGGAACAGGAATAAAGAAATAAGCAATCGCCATAGCCGAACAAATAAGAAATGAATCCATTGTTTCGATAAATTTAGTTTGCGAAAAATTTATGTTTAAACGAAATTAATACTGTTAAAAAGCGTATAAAAATCGGTACGTAATTATCACTATGGAAAAACACGGGCGGTAATTCAAAACGAACTGAATTCAAGCTATATTGTTTTTTACTTTTTATACAGAAAATTATCCTTAGTTACCATTATTTCAGCCAATTTATATAATAATAAGGAAATTATTTTAACAAAATTTTGAGCTTTTCTCATAAATTTACTGTTAATAGTAATTATATAAGTTTAAATAAATTAAAATTGGGTTCTTATTACATATTGATCATTAAAGTCGATTATTGAGAGAAGAAAATTTTTATGTACAAACATAGAAAAAATGCACATCATCACAAAATTATAAAAATGTAGCTTTTGGAATAATCCATCAATGTTTTAAAATTAAACACTATCTATAAATTTATATTGAAGCGTTTTTTATGATAGTGATTTTAATCACTGTCAGATATCATTATTCTTGACCCAATTATGACACATCCCCACTGTACTGGGTTTTTGTTAAGGATCGTATTTCCAAAACTTAAAATATTCCAAAAAATTTTAATAAATGTTATGATTTCAGGAACAAATTTTTTGTAAATTAAAATTATGAAAATTTAGAATTCAATACCCATTTGTTTTTGCCTTTAAGTTTAATTTTTAGGTATTTTTCAAAATAATGTGCATTTTGCAAACAAATATTATTGGTTTGCACACCTAATTCATTAATTTCAGTTGGTAATCTAATAACTAATGTTCTGCTGTAATTGATATGATACAATAATTATATGTAATCCAAGTTATTAAATTAATTTTTAGTCATCTGTTATGGTTATAATTTATTGTTTTCTTCAACTTTTAATAGTAAATAATTTTTATATAATAAATAAATAAAATGCGTTTCTGTTTAAGTGATTGCAATTGTGAAAATGTAATATGTTTTTTGTACGGTAGATGGCACATCTGTAAAGTTAATAACTAGCTGTTACTAACTATTCTAGATATATCATTGCTATCCTATTATTTTAGCTTCGATGCAAAGCTGAGAATGTATTAATTTTACTATGATGTTTTTTTTTGTTTGTTAAATGGAACGAGTTTTCCAAAAAATATATTGTCCTGATATTAATTTATATTTTAAATTATATTTATATATATTTTGAAGGGCTTAATGAAAAAAAATTATGTTAATCATGAATAAATATACTGGTGGTCTACAAGGAATTATTATAAAAATATATACATTTCTAGATCATTGTTATGTGCTGATTTCACATCTACAATTAGATTTTCTTAATATCACCTCTAATTTTTGATATTATTACTAATTAGTAAATAACGAGTATTGATAAATAAAAAAGTAACCAAAAAAATCTAGGTTAAAATGAAATACATAGACAATAATACATAGGTGAAACTATGCTAGTTATGGCACATAACTAGCATATTTAAGGGATTAGACCCACGAGCTAAAAATTAAGATATGTTATAGTATGAAATTACTTGTAAAGATTCAATGCACAAATGATCATTGCACGCATACTTTTAAGCTTATTTAATCGTTATGGCTTTAGAAAGTATTTTCAAGTAAGTCTTATACATATACATATATACATAAATTTACTACTTTGTAATGTCACTTAAATAAATATATATATATATATGTAACTACAAAATGTTTGGATAATCCACATTTTAAAAATAAAAATAAAATTTTGAATATTCAAGTGTTACCTTTTATTTATGTTCACTAGAAAAAGTATATGATAACGGCATCAGTTATTAGCTTAAGTACCAGTTTTTTGTTCATGTAAACACGAATCAAAAGTGGGAAATGCACATATTTTTTAACCTTAAAATAGACTAAGATATATCTAATATAAAAAGTGGTTAAACTGGGGAATTTTTAATGAGTGATGGCATTATTTCAAATTTATGATCTTGAATACTATATTACATTGAAAAATTTATTTATTTATTTAACATTTTCAAAATGTTTTCAATTTTTTTTACTAAAAGCTGCCGTAACTTTTTCAAAAATAAACATATCAAAATAATTCTTTTTTTTATAGATGCTTGATGTCTCTACCTATCATTTGGTATATTTTTTTTGTAAATCTGACTTTTTACCTGCCTACAGTGGGGGATTCAAAATGACAACTTTTTCACAAGAAATTGACTTTTTCAACTTAAATTTTGAAAGTGTTCCGGAAAGTCTGACACTTTTATATATATCTTAAATTAAAGCTAATGTAATCTACTTTATTATGTAAAAAAATAATTTCGGACTTTATTTTATCTTCACGGTGAAAATGGCTGCCAAATGCTATTATTGTGTGAAAATTCTCAATTTTATTTTTTACATTTTTAACTTTATAATGCTATAACTTATTATAAATGTGTATGGATCAACACAATTTTTTTATGAGAAATAATATTTTTTAATATCCCTTATTCATTCGACATACTTTATCTTAATCAGGATATTAATAAGGAACTAGCAGTTCATGAAGCTTTTGGAATAATCCACCAATTTTTAAAATTAAACACTATCTAAAGATTTGCATCGAAGCGTTTTTCTTTTTATAGTAATTTTAATCACTGTCAGATATCATTATACTTGATCCAACTATGCCACGTCACCACTGTGCCGCGAACTCCCTGTGCTGGGTTTTTTTATATGTATATTTTATGTTGAACCCTTCTGTATAAGGAGAAATTATCTGATATCTAAAAAAATAAGTCGGAAAAAATATAATGTATGAAATGTTTATAAAAAAAATTGTCTATTGCATCTATTTTTATATTAATAATAGTGATCTACGTTGAAAGTTTAAAATTGTTTTAACTATCGCAGCCATTTGCACATAGATGATAATAAGTCGGGTCAAATATTTTTTTAACTTATAGTACTCTATATTTTAAAAAATAACTTAAATAATGTATAAAAATGTGTTTATTATTATTTCATATACATACTAAAATAAACAAGGAAATTTCGTTGTCTTTTATTTTAAAAGAAGGAATTTTCATTTTTTTATATTTTTGCATTTAAAATGATTAATACATTTTTTTTTTGAACTAATTATCTGTTTTACAATACAACTAATTTATTAAGACACGTCAACAATGAACAATTGTGAGAAAACAAATAGAAAAGTTAGAAATGAATAACAATCATAAAATAAAAATTGTGTAATAGAAATACAAATTCAAAGGCACATATAACATTAAAAAAATCATGTTTTTATTATGAAAAATATTTTTAAAAAATTAATGAACAATAAAAAATAAATCAAAGAATGAAAATATATAACAAATAAAAATAATAAGAAAAAAAATAACTGGTGAGCACCAAAAATGTAAATAACAAGTGTTGTATACTTGTCTGAATTTATCATTAAAGATAAAATGGTCATCCTGCAATTATAACTGAGGCAAAATATAAGAGTTATAAGGTAAATATGATTGTCGAAATCGGTGAATTTGTTATATTTGTTAATCATTAATTACTGGAAATCAAAATATGTAACAGTCTATATTAGTAATGGTCTATGTCAGTTGAATCGCAAAATTTGATCATGTCGAGCATTGTTTTCTTTTTTGACTGAAGAGTTTTATATTAGTTTGTTTGCGTTTTGAATTCATGTTATTGAATCTACCAAAAATGTGGTGATGGAATCCAGTTTTCCATTGATAAAGTTATTCTGTATTTCTATGTTGTTATTAAAGTATTTTCCTAATTTGAACAGCTATAAAATAAATTGATAATATTAAGTGATGTTATATGTATTGTGTATGAAATAGAAACTTACTTCATTTCGAACAGTACTCTTAGGTATGTGTAGTGTTACGTTTGGAGCAATACTTTGGGCCAATTCGAAGATCGTTCGACCGCCACCGTCGTATTCACTACACATATTTTTCTCCAAACTGTATGTTTTATGGTTTTTATACGATGGTTCTCCCCATGGAGTTGAAGTTACAATTACTTCAGGCTTGTATTTTTTTAAATCATTAGCTATAGCAAAAAAGTTGCCCATAATGAAATTAATTTTATCTCTCACACCGTAAATTTCTGCATTTTTTTTAGCAAATTCCAATTTGTTCGGGTCAATGTCTATTGCTATGACTTTTTCATATTTCATTGCTAATTGTATTGCGTTTCCTCCGGCGCCACAAAATGGGTTCATTGCTACATTGTGACCCTTAAACCTTTTTGCAATATGTTTGCTCAACATTTCAGGGCACACACAATAAAATGATTCTAAAATAATAGTTAACATTAAAAACATAAAAGATTAACAAAGAGTATTAATTTAATTACCATAGTCCAAGAGAATTCCGTCACCAAATTTTTAAAACAGGAAGTGTCTTTTATTCCATAAGTACTTTGGAATATCACGAGAGCTAGTTTTATTGAAGCTATTATTTATAGATATTATCTAAGTTATGTTTAATTTGCGAAGTGTTACTGGTAAATCTGGTGTATGTGATTGAATTGATTCAGTCGAGTGACTTATTTGAGTCGAAATGTTGTTCTCGTACACCTCTGTAACGCTTTGGAGCTGACAGAGGGTGACATCGTTAGTAAAGTCATTGTTCGGTAAGTGGTGGTGTGATATATTCAAACAAGCACTGTTCAGGTTAGTTTCAATGGAATTGTCGGGTGTATTATTCTCAAAAATGTTTTCGTCGGTTTCAACAGTCGTAATTTGTATGGATGTCTCTGTAGACTTTTGAAGTGATAAAATATTTGTCAAAATAGGTATATCATTGGTGTCTGTTGTCGAAATCGATGTACTAATTGATTTAGTTTTCGACTTCTTAGTTTTTTTCTGCTTAAAAAGTCCATCGTCCAAAAATATAAAAAATATTAAAACTAAAATACCACTAAGCGAGATCTTGAATAATTGAAATAGGAATAAAAAAATAAGCAAGCACCATAGACGAAAAAATAGGAAAAGTGTCCATTGTGTCAATGAAATTCACTCAATAAAAAAAATGAAAGTAAAAAAATATAAATTTAAACAATATAAAAAATATAACAGAGACTTCATGACTGGTTGGCTTCCACAAGAGCTTATATGTTCTTTGTTCGATGGTTAGACTAAAAGTCCTAATGAATTTTTAGTTTACTAGATCATTAATTCTATTTTTTTTCTGATATTTTAGCCAACGACAAATAACGTTACTCTTCGACCTGCTGAGAAGTATTGCTCCCAACATAGCACTGCACATACCTAAATCTACAAGTCGAAACGAGGTAAATTAATTTAATTTCTACAGGTAAACTACAATTGTAGTTAATGTTGATTAATTAATTTTCTAGTTAGTACTAAAAAATTAGTTAATAATTTGGAAAATTATTCGATCTCAACATGGAAATTCAACACAATTATATCGACGAAAGACACGATTCGATAACTGCGTTTTTCGGTCGATTTTTCGACATGAACACGAAATTCTTATCTAAAGACAACTAACTTTATACGAGCAGAAAACATCTCAAGTATCCAGAATGTGCAGATTACTATTATTGTTAAATTATAATTCAGCCAATTTTTGTAATTATCCACATTATATCGATAAATACGAATTTCGACATTTCCTAATTTTCAATATTTATAAACTTACCTATTTAAACAAACCACCGACTTTATAAATTATATAAATATCTCACTAATCTTTTATTTTTGACACAAGTTGCTGTTGTATGACATATTTTACTGAAAAGTAAAGTTTAAATAATTGTGTTATGATTATATATATTTCATTGTAAAGCATATAGTATTTTTATTGATATTTCTAATATATTTGTTTTTGTATAAATTAAATTAAATGTTGTTTTATGTTTAATTTTTTATCTGTATATAAAACTATTTTAAATTATTCTGAATATATTTTATTGGATACACATCGATCGAATATGCTGTCAAGAAAATGTGTTGTTCATTATTCATGTTACCGTTGTTTTACATCGAGTTGTTGACGGTCTTCTCTCTTTGTCAGCATTATCGCCGCCATCTTTTGCTATAAGCTCTATGTCGTTTGCGAGCCAGTAATTTTGTATTCGTTTTACTGTAAAAAAAAATATCATTTTTGCGATTGTCGTACCCGGTGCCCTCAGTTTATCTCAGTTTAGGTCTATATATTTTCTGAGATACATCATAATACCGTTCAGAGCATATTGTACACATTGGTCAGCTACTTGCATTCGACTTCAATTGATCCTTTCAATATTCAACATTATCATCAGCCGTTTCATTTAGTCGATAAGTATAATGTTTGTTCATCTATCTTTCTAAGACTCACTTGTATTATTTATTATTTGATTATATCATCGTCTTAGTTGCATTAGTATAAAGTGTCTCCCCCATCCTCATTGGTGTACATAAGATTTTATATTTCTTGTATAATACATGTAATTGTTATAATTATATTTTGTAAAATTCATTCTACATTCTAACATACAGTCCACTCACCTCATTCCTTATCCTCGGCATAGCTAAAGACTTAAGACAAAATAAAACACCGAACGTTAAAAAACCCGCGTGAATACCACCGGGCGCTGCATATTTTTATGCTGTTCATACATATTTTGTTGCAAAAATGTAAATATACTTAAATCGCTGAATTGCTTTGCCCGAAATATATTTCATATTATATTCTATAGTAAATAATTATTATAAAAAATTGAATGCTTCTAGATATTTTTTTACATTTTCCAGTGGATATTAAATAAATCAACGATAATTTATACAAATTACATACTTTTTACATATAGGATTGTAAAATATTATCAATATTTATCAGTAATTAACATTATCTACATTATTTAAAAAATATATATATATATATATATATATATATGAGATTTAATATTTCAGTTAATTGCATTTTCGGTTTGCTTTCAATAGTAAGGCTGTCTTTTATTTAATTATATTATACAAAATGATTATTTAATACATTAAGTGTAATCTCATTTAATAATAATAAAAAATATTTGGGTATTATGATTTAATTAACCTTTTATACATGATTTGTATTTTATTTTACAATATACAATAATCTTATTAAATATTAATGCACAGAATTTATATTTTTACCATTCGCAGCGAATAAAAATAAACAAAATAATCTAGGGCACCGGAACTATTTTTTACATGGGAGGGGCAAAATTTTAATGACTAAAACTCGGTCCCCTTGATTGGTTCTAAGCTAAAATGTGGGTTAGCTATTTCTTGATGGATTTTAGTAATCATATAAAACAAATTCGGTAATTCATAAATTTTACTCTTAATAATACATATTATTAGATCCGATACCAAACTGAAAAGATATAAATTTCACCAAAATGTGTCTATTTATTTACGTAAGATTACAAATCGTAATTAGTTGAAGACATGGACCTCAAAAATTGAAAATTTTTCCCTTATTCCCCGTAAATGGTGAAAATCCTCCAAAAAATTACAATTTTTAAAATCGGTAAATTTCAACATTTTTTTCACTTTTTTTCTAAAAATTGTTATAACTTATTGAAAAATAAACAAATCAAAATAATTTTTTTTTATATTTAAACCTTAAGTAATTCCCTTTTATTTGACATAATATTTTTGAAAATCTGATCCTTTACTGCCCACAGAGTGTGATTGAAAATACCAATTTTTTTACAAAACTCAACTTTTTCAACTTAAGTTTTAAAAATTGTCAGGAAACACTGCATTTTTAAAACATATGTCAAATTTAAGCTTATGTAACAAATTATGAATTAAAAAAAAAATTGTCCCGACGACCTATTTCTTTTATGCAAATGGCTGCCCTAGTTAAAGACATTTTTTTTTTGTGTTCAAATTTTATTTTATTTTTTGTTTGTTTTAAAATACCTTATAAGGGTTTGCCATAGTAATGAGTTCATTAATAAATATAAAATTTTCATGAATCTAACTAACATTAACTAAAAATTTATACTCATTTTAATAGTTTTGTCTCCTCAAACATAAAAGAAATTTTTTTGAAAGGTTGAAAATTTGTATAAAAAGTAGAACTTTATCAACTTAACTTTTAAAAATCTGTGTCTATAATATATATATATATATATATATTAAAATAAAGCTTATTTTAAGTACTAGAAGTTCAAAAAAATATTTGTACCGACGACCTATTTTCTATATGCAAATGGCAGCCGAAGTAGAATAAACATTTTTAACAATTAATTTTGCTTTAGGAATAATCGACCAATTTCTTAAAATTAAACACTATCTACAGATTTGCATCGAAAAGTGACATATGATAGTGATTTTAATCATATTCAAATGTCATCTATACTTGTTTCAATTATGCCTCGCCCATATTGTCCCACGACTACACTGTGCTACCGTTTTTTATTTACTTACATTGTCCACAATCATAACAGACATAGGTAATTTTTATAAACAATTATTATTTTGTGTAATATGACCCACTGATATTTTTAAATACCTCCAGAAAAAAGTAGTTTTGAAAGAAGCACAGTTAGCAACTACACTACAACCATCTGAATTTAGCTATTGTACGTTTTCGTTTGAATGTTTTCGTAAAGAGCGCGTTGCTTATGTCGAAGTTTAATTTATAAATATTAAAATTGTATTAATACATTTAAGTAAACTGTATTTGAATTATATTTTCATAATTTTCTTGTGTACATTCAAAAGTGTATAACTTTCCCCTTTATTCAAAAAAATTAACACTAGAGAAAAAAACGAAATTGAATTCAGATAAATAATATTTATTTCAGTGTATACTAATGTTATTTGTAAATATTCAATCCAATTGTTGTCTAGAAATAAAATATAAAAAATTCAAATTATAAGGACCAAAAAATAAAAATTTTAAGATCAATTAGTAAATTATACATTAAACTATATAAACCAAAATAAATATAATATGACACAATAGAATTATTTTTTTAAATTTTTTGTACGTTAAACATGTTAGTTTTGTGCACTTAACAAATGTGTAATAATAAATTTAAATTTAAACAAGTATTCGATTTGTTATTAAATAATTACTTAATGTAAAATTACACTATACTAACAATATCGAATTAAACAATTTTGTAAGTGGCATCTTCTTTTGTTCAGCTCTTTCCAATCGATTGTCAAGATTTGAAAGTGTTGATGGTAAAATCATACACATGGTTTTTTATATCAGATGAACTATGTATTAAGTCAGGTCATAAATCACACGTCGGTTTGATATA